GGCCTCCCCAGCAACGACCGTGGAGGTGTCATCTTTGCGAGGCTACTCCTGATGGCAGAAGTCTCATTATTTTCCCGCTGTCTCTCATAAATAGAAGAACAACAAACTCCCAGGCAGTCCTTCTGAGGAGATGAAACCTTTGAAATCATCAGCAACACAGGCAGTAGATACCTTGCACTGAACGAACAACCTATTTTTCCCTGCTAGCGGACACAGCAGGTTGGGAAAAGAGAGAACCATTTCCCACGAGTTTCCAAGTTCATATATAACTTTCTGTGGACATTCAAGAAAACCCATGAATCTAAATCTTTGAGAAAAAAACCCCTCGCTTCATTGTGTCTTGAAAATCAAATCTCCTGTTCAGAGAAAAGCCTCGTCATGTTTAATCCCTGGGGAACGAAAAGGAGCTGAGCTGCTGCAAAGCAGGCAGTGGTGGACATCTTCCAGGAGAGGGGTTGGGACATTGGATCAGGCTGGGTGTCCATCAGGTCCGGTATCCCCTTGCTGCAAGAGTTGTGTGGGGCGGTGCGGGAGCCTGGATGGGCAACAGGCACCCGGAGGTGACGACAGGGACCCGAGAGGCACAACTCCTCCATGCATGACACCCCCGAGCAGCTCACGGCACGGGTCTGCGGCAGACCCCGCCTCGCGCTCTGCCGTTTACGCGTGCTGGAGATAGCGTAGCTACACCCACGCGTCAGAAATGTCCCACCGAGGTGAGCAGAGTCTAGACAACTGGTGGAGGAGCCGCATTTGTGGAATGGTAAAGCAGATCTGCAGGTTTATTTCCCCCTTTGATGTGGGAGAAAATGAAGCTGGAGGGGAGTGCAAAGCCCCTGCAGTAAGGGGGATGAAGGAGAAGTTAAGACGGCTGAGACTGACTCAACAAAAAATAACAAATCAGAATTCCCAGCGGTGCGGCTTGCGAGCGGTCCTAACTCGGGCAGAGGGAGCGGAGAGGCAGCCCGGAGCCCCGCGGGACGTGTTAACCTCATGGACCTTCGCGGCAGGGAGGGTGCTGCCTCTGCGGGGCCAGGCAGGCAGGCTGGCCTTGAACCAGCATGTCCCTTCCAAAGGGCTCCGACGGACTCGCCGACCCGGTGCCTGTTGAACTTGAGACGGCTTTGGCTGTCTGCCCTGCACAGACCCCTTTGGAGATCCCACCGAAGGCAAGGCACGCACCCGGTTCCCTCCTCCGCTGCCTTCCCTGCCGGCTCAGGTGGCAGGGGGCGATGGAGGCGGCAAGCCTTGGGGTGCGGGAAAAGCAAGGCAATTCGTCTCCGACACAGGCTGCAGCAGTGATGGGACTTCCAGATGGGAGATGTTCTACCAGGACAGGCAGAAGGCAGGACAGGAGAAAACTAATTGCCATCAACACAGATGAGCTGGAGAGAGGACGAAGACAAGGGCGTTTCTTCCCCTCCTCTCCGGGTTGCATCGCTCCTTCTACTGAAAGGAGGATCGGAGCACAAAGTCTTGAGCCAGAAACAAATTTCAGCAAAGAAGGGTGTGAGTGTGATTTTTTTTTCCCTTCAGCCCTGTTTCTGCGGGCAGAGGATGGGGGGTTAGGGCCTGGCTTGCTGGATGCTCACAGCTCTAGGGCCAGGGAGCTGGCTCCCACAGACAGACCCTCTGCCCAAATTCACACATCCCAGCAGCGAAGGGATGCGGACACCCCCCCGCCCCTCCCCACCGCCTGCCCTGGCGTTGGGGCACAACCCACAGAGGTGGACCACGGGCTGCACTTTTTCCTGTCATGTCCTGCTTTCTTCTCCAGGTCACAAAGTCCCCAGGCAGTGACATAAACCTGGCCCTAGAGCCTGGCTCCAAACCCTGCTCCGGCCGCCCTGCCAGCCCAGCGAGCTCGGCTCTGGCCACACCGTGGCAGCATTCATTCGCCTTGTGCGCCATGCTGGATGCTCTGCTGGGACCAGCACATCCGAGACCTGGGATCTCAACTTCTCCCAGTGCCTGGAGGCCTTTTGCTCCTGGATTTTGGGCTGGAGCCGTTTCAAGCACTCAGGGAATCGAAGTTGCAGAAGATGGTTACAGCACACGGAGACCCGGCCAGCCAAGCGGCAGGCAAGGGCAGGAGGTCCTGTCCTGGCTGAGGGTGGGGATACCTGCCCAGCCAGGGGAGCCAGCGTGGATTGTACCATGGACTGGGAGAGCAGCAAACCTCCTGCAGCTCTTTTTGTTCTGACTTTGGCTTAGGGCAGCTAACCTCAGCCCTCTGAAAGCAAGCTCACCGTTGCAGCTCCTGGACAAACCCTCTGCTGTCGCCGGTGCGGGTGCTTTTCTCCATCAGCGCGCAGTTCAGCAGAGCCGGGGCAGGAGGAAAGGCTCAGCATCTACCAGCTCAAAATGTCAACCCCAGACGCCTGCCTCCAGCAAGAGCTGCAGCTATGCCCTGCTGTCCTCATCCTGCCAGCGAGGGAGGACAAACCTTCTTCAGGGCGAGGAAGGGAGGAGAGGGAGGAAGGACACACAAGGTCACGCATGCTTTACCTCGCAGACAGCTTTTCTCTGTTAAAGGGACTGATACCTTTCTGTGATCGTGTTAACAGATTGCTTTTGGGGCCAGATTTTTGCGGCAGGGCTGAGGTGTGAGTGTGTCAGAGCCCAGAATCACGCAGCACCTTTGCAGCCAATCTCACCTCCCTTCTCATATGAGATGTCCCGGCAGAGACAGCTCGTGCGGCTGGCAGGTGGCACAGAGCCTACAGAGGGGACCGGCTCGCCACCGAGATGCCACACGCGTTTCTTTTGGCAGGCAGGTCGCTCCGTGCTGGCACTTTCTGCTCCCAAAATTGTGGAAACGGGGTCTGCTGTCCTAGAACTGCTCGCGAGACTGCGCTAAGATGGAGCTGGTGCTCTCTGGGCTTTCAAGAGTCCTTGCTTGGCACATCCTCACCAAGGACCAGGAGCATCCATAATGCTCCAAGTGCTGCCTTCCAAACAGGCTTTGTTACCTCTTGCAGGCAAGATGCCTCTGACAGCCGGGGTTGGGGCTGCTTCACTCCCATCCTCGTGGCTTTCCAGTCTCACCTGGGAGAGGGTTCACGTGTTCACAGCATGCAAAGCTTTGGGATGCAGCCGCTCCCTGAATCTTCCCCACCAGCATCACGGCTGCAGATCACATATCTCCTGTAAAGCCTTCCGGAGGACAGCCTGGCCAAGCAGCAGTCATTGCCATGGGTTTTCCCCTCGCGTACACATCAGCCAGTGTGTTCAGTGCTTGCTCCTCTGTGGGAGGACTTTCATGCCAGCAAAAGTGGGGACTGAGCAAAAGGAGAGGCTCACGGGGAACAGGGAGCAGAGAAGGAGGCAAACATAGCGCAGAGTCCGTTTAGGAGAAATCACGACACATGAATGAGAGGCATCCTACCCTTTGGATCAAAACAGACACATTTGTACCCAGGCTGCTTGGGGATGGACAAAGTTCATAGGTACAAGGACATTGCACATCATCTCCCCCAGCCTCGGGCACGTGCCCAGGTCTGTACAAGTCTGAAGGAAAGCCAAGAAAATGCAAGGATTCAGCCAAGCCCCGAGCTGGGGAAAGGGAGAGCCTGGGGGAAATAACCCCCAGCTCTGGTCAAGCAACAAGACCTAGCCATTGCCCAGCCCCTGCCACCTCTGCTCTCCCCCAAAACACCAAAAACGCGGATGATCACAAAGGTGGTGATTTCATGCAGCTGCAAAATGCCCTCAGGAGAAGGAGGAGAAATGTGAAGTTCTGCTAAGAGCCACTGCAGATTACAAAGCCATCGTACTTCAGTGGGGAAATCCAGGGAAAGGGGGTGAAAAGAAACGGCCACAGGACAAGAGCAAGAGAAAGAGGAAGAAAAGGAAATAAAAATCATCATCATCATCAGGACACAACAACAGGACAAGAGACAGAGCACTTTCCATGGGCAGTTCCCTGCGGAAAAGGAGCCACCGTGTCCGTGAAATACAAAACCCAGCGCCCTCCGGCTGGAGGGGGCAGCAGGTGCTGGGACTGGTTTGGCATCCCCTTGGGGCGAAGGGTCCAGTTAGGAGCAGAAAACCCTGCAAGGGAAAGGGGAGAAAGGCTGACCTTAGAAGGGGCGGTGAGGAGTGTCTAGGACTAAGGTCTTCTCAAGGGACCATGTTGTGAGGTGGGCAGGTAGGTAACCCTTATCCCTACCTAGAGATGGAAAACTGAGGCACTCTGTACACAGTGCAGACCCCAGAGTATGTACTTGCGTTGGAGAAAACTCCCACCCAACCCTCAGAGATGTTGGGAAACCTGCTCTGGGTCAGCTGGGCACTACGTGGCACAGCCAGAAGTGCAGGGAAGGGATTGCGCCCCAGGCTGCCGAGGGCCAGGACGAGGAGCGAGATCCACGCGGCCGCTCGTCCTTTATCCTAAATAATCCTTCTGCTCAGCCAGGGAAAAATCCCACCGAGACAGAGCTGAGCAAATGGCAGGACATGGTGCAGCAGAAACAAACACAGCAAATGTCAAGGTTTTTTACTTCTTAGGGTTGTTTTTACAACAGTGGGAAGAAAAGTCTCCAGATCTTTCCAAACTGGGCGTGCAGCAGCCTGGAGACCTGCCCACACTGTGGGTACCACTACCAGCACCCCCAGCCAGCACCGGAGCTGGGGAGACCCCCCCCTCGCCAGGCATCCTGCAAACCTTCCAGCTCATCACCCACCGGCTGGCAGGGGAGCAGGGGCAGGCAGGACTTTGGCTTTGCATCGCCGTTCGGGTGGGATTGTCAGGTCTGGGCACGTCGGTACGACGGGTGCAATAACCCGGGAAGGCCGGGGGGTGGGAATTTGTCCTAGTGAGGTGACAACTATTTCAGAGAGACTGCCAGGCAGCACCCCTGCTTCCAGTGCAAAAATCAAATGTCTTTTCTCAGCCTCTGCTATAACAAGGACCACGTGTGCAAAAGTGTGCTCCCTTCCCCATCCCGCAGCCCACGCGCTTGGGAGACAAGTGCAGGGGTTAAAATAAACACGTCAACTCACTCATCCGTATCTTTTTTGCTCTCCTCAATGAATGCAATAGACTCAGATCTAAGGCGGTTAGTCACTTCGTACGTACGCAGGGTGACTCCAAAAATATCCTCGTGGTACCGGCTGTCATCCTGAAACAGAGGATGGGAGAGGGGCAGTGGGGAAAAAAAAAAAAAAAAAAAAAGAGTATTTACAAACAGTCGACGTTGCTGCGGCACCAGAAAGCTCTCGTGTTGTGGGTAGGTACCAAATACACGGCAAGCGTTCTGGGGCTGGTCACAAGAGCTGGTGGGACAGGCAGGGCAGAGGGGCAGGAACAAGCAGGAAGGTGGAATGACCTTCCCAAGGTCACACTGTGGGGCAGCAACGGAGCTGCTCCGTGCATTAGACCTCCTCAACCGCCGGCACCCCAGGGACTGCCTGGCTATCAGGGGGACAAGTAGCCCAAGGCCAGCTAAATACGTGGCTGTGGGCTCCCCTGGCTCCTGGATGGAGTGTGGGGACATGGTTCAGATGGGGTAGTCCCATAGGATTCAGGCTGAGTTGTCCTCCTGGGCAGAAGCAGAGCCTGTGTCCCAATCCGAGCCCACTTCTGCTTCAGCTGCGACGTCTGCAGCAACGTGTTTGCCCGGGGTTAGCATCCAGCCAGCCGCACAGAGGAAATTTTGGGAGGGGGGACCCACAAACTGCGCTGTTAGCTTGCTGCAGTGACAGAGGGACAGCGGGGGCTTAACCAGATGAGTAAGCCCTGTCTGGGCTACCAAGGGTTCCCAAAAGAGCTTGTACCAGTGCTCAGGACAGCACCGGGCTCGTCACAGGAGCCCAGCGCGGGCTGAGGGGGCTGCAGCCTGGATCAGAGCTCCTGCAAAGCGAGGTCACTTCCACAAAGCAAGGTCACTTCCACTGCATGCCCAAAGCTTTGGAAGATCACGCTCCCGACCTTGCCCGGGTGCAGGCAGCGTGGGTGGGAGCTGCAATCCCCCCTCAGCACCCGTCTGCTCGGTGCTGCCCGTTCTGCAGGAGGAGGCACCAGGTGCAGCGCCCGTGGCAGGAGCTCGCGTGGTGTCGCGTGGTGCGGACGCTACTCACCCGCAGCTTGCTGATGAAAGCGCCTGCCTCCTCCACCGACAGCTGGCCCTGCTGCTTCACGATGCGCTGAATAGTCTTGAGGACGTCCCCGGCCATGGTGACATCCCCGCAGACGTAGATGTGGCCTCCCTGCTCCTTCAGTGCTTTGAACACGGTTTGGGCCAGCTGCTCCTGTAACACGTCCTGCACGTATTTCTGAGGGAGCAGGAGGAGGTGGGAACTGAGATTAGCTACAGCTTCTCAGCCCCATCCACCTGCACGCCCTGGCCAGCTTTGTGTGCAGCAGTGCAATGCGACCGCCTCTTTGGGGGAGCATGCCTGCACCTTGCAGCACCCACAACGATAGAAAAGAGATGGGAAAAAGCAGCAACGCATCGTTTTGCTCTTGCATTTTCACACCTTCACCATATATCTCATTGCCAGGCCTGGTCAGGTGACGGTGGGGACTTAAGCGAGATATTTGCGCTGGCTCTGGGCCACCCCACCAGGTGACATCCCTCCTTGGGAAGACGTGCCTTTGCCCTCCTCATCTGCTCCCACCTGGTGAGGACGGCCGCAGCCCTCCAGAGCAAAGCGTGAGCAACGTGGGCACGCATTCAGGCTGGCGCAGGGATGGGGATGTGCCCTGGGAAGGGCACGATCCTGCGCACTTACACAACCAGAGCACCCCAAGGGCATGAGCTGCTGCGGCTGTGCCAAGGAACCGGCATCTCCACGCCGTGCCGGCTGGCCACGGCCACCCAGGGCTGCACCAGCACCCGCCACGCACCTTTGGTTTGTCCGGTTCCCGGGAGTAGGCTGTGTACAGCTCTCTGAAGACACCTTGGGTTTTGGCAAAGAGCGTCTCCTCCTTGTAAATGTGGTCGATCCTGGACTGTCGGCAGCCAAATACCAGGACCATAGGACAAGGCTTCAGACCTGGGGGAGAGATGGGAGAAGCAGTTAGCCCGGGGACCACCGATACCTGCTTTCTGCAAGCCACTGCCCTCCAGATCTGGCAGCAGCCCCAGCACCCAGCGTCAGGCTGCCAGGAGCTTTCCCTGGCCAAACTGGGAGGGAGGAAAAAAACAGCAAGGAGGAGGTAACGCACAGCCTGAGCCAGTGTAAGGCCTGGGATCACACGGCAGGGACGTTTGTGCCAGGTTTTGGGGAGAAATCAAACTTTTTTTTTCCTAAGTGGTCTAAATGATCAGTGGAAAATGCATATTTTACATAAATTTGCATTAAATGTTCTTTAAAAAAAACCAACTCCAGCACTATAGTTCTGCCATAAAACCTTGCAAAGTTTACAGGAGGGTTTTCACGGAGTTTGTTTTGGGAGTTTGGGCTGACCTCCAAGCCTGCACGTGGGTCAGCCACTGCTTCAAGAAGCCCTTTGCCTCTGCTGGGGCAGCCTGGGCAGGAGACTGGACCCCCATCCCCACGCCACCAGCCCAGGAGATGAGAAACAGGAGGAACAAGCGTCGACCCACCTTTGTGCTGGATTTCAAAAAGCCGCTGCTGCCAGAAGCTCCGGAAAGGGGCGATGCCGGTGCCGGGGCCGATGAGGATACAGGGCACCTGGGGATCCTGGGGCAGGTGGAACCCGGGCGCACTGCGCACATCAAAGTCACGAGTTAAACCCAAGCAGGATGCTCCCTCCCTCGCCTCTGCCCACCGCAAGCTGAGACACCACCCAGGTGCAATCCCAAAAAGTGATGTTTTAGTGCAGAAGAACTGCACCAGAGAGGGACCCATTTGCTCAAAAATCCAGCCCTGTTTTCTCCACACCCTTAGCGCTTTGCAAAGGAGGATTGGAGGCAAAGAGGTCATCCTGCAAGGTGGCTCACCCCATCTTTTTCACCCCTTGGCTTGTGTAGACCACTTACCCTCTTACAAAACAGGGCACTACTTCATCAGTCTGTATCCGATTCAGCCAAGAGGAGCAGACTCCGTGGTGGATTGGTCCTTCTCCATCTAGGAGAGGAGGGAGGGAGGTCTGTACTTGACACACCAGCCAACTACTCCAGTTGCTTTCCTTTCTGAAATCCTCCCTGCTACATCCCATGTGAACACCTCACGGAAACATTTAGTATCTCTGCATTCATTCTTCATGAACTTGGTAGAAGTTTGGCACTTGGATCCCTCTGTGGAGCTATCCAAGTTCATCCAGGACCCAGCCCTGGGATAGCTGGACCTCCACAATACCTAGGAAGCACCCAACTTCTCTTTGGTCCTTTTTGGCAGAAGCAGCATCACGCTGCGGTGCTTCCAGACACAAGCCCTCTGCAGCAGCCCCAGATGAATGGCCAGTGTCTTCCCCTGTGTCCTGCCTGCTGCAGGGGTGATGGGGCTGCATCCACCTACACCACGACCAGGACTGCTTGGACACATCAGTGTTTGCGCAGGTACAGAAACCTGGCTAGTTGTGGCAATGGGGACTTTGGTGTGGGCAAACAAATGATCCCACATGGAGCTTGGAGCCACCGTGGCCGGTCTGTTGCTGGTACCTGACTCAGATCTAGTATCTCTGCAATACACTGCCCTTTGATGGATGGCCATTCTCCATAACACAGGACAGTAATGTCATGGGTTGAAGGAACCTAGTCACTGCAGCAGGTAGAAAGGCTTTAAAATAACATCTCTCTGTTAAAGACCTCGTGGTGTTGCCCACGTGCTGATGCTTTTTCCTTGCTATCCACACCAAGCCTGTCTCCACTGACCCCAGCATGAGCATAGTACCTCTTGTACGATAGGAGACCACTGCCACGGTGAGGTGGACCTCGCCTGGGTACATCTCTGGGGAGGAACTGATGGAGTAGTAACGCGGTTGGAGGAGAGGGAGCTGTGTGAGCAGCAGTGTGGAGGGCATCTGCACTGAGGGGAACTCCTCCAGCACCTCCACGATGGTGGGGTTCTTGGACCACTTCCATTCCTCGTACTCCGGCAAGCCCTGCAGCCAGGTAAAGAGGGAGGGATGGAGGAGAGCGCTGCAGCATCGACCTCTTCCAAGCCAGATGCCTCTACAGATATCCCACCGAGCCTCTGCAAAGCTAGGGTGGGTGGCAGTGAAGGAAGGCAGGAGGAGCCTTACTGTCATGGGTAGGGACTCAGCCTAACCACAGTGTGGGATGAAAATGCCCCAGGGTTGTGGTTGTCCCCAGGGTCTTGAGAAACTTTGGGTTTGGGGTCTGAGGGTTTACCTTGCTGAGGACCTGCAGACGTTTCTTCTCCTTGTCACTGGTGGCCAGCAAGGCAAACTGCTGCAGCAGCAAGGGTGTGGGAGGGGTGGTGATGTCCAAATAGTACTTAAAAGCCTGGAAGATGGTGCATGGTGGGACACGGTTCTCGTCTGTCCAGTTACTGATGACACCTGCCAAGAAGGAATTCAGCACAACCATGGGATCAGATGAACATAAGAGCCAAGGTGGACAAATCCTTGCTTTCATTCCCCCTGATCAGCTCTGAGACAGTGAACGATGAAGAGCTGGAAAGAAGAGTCAACGCGATATCCTCATGCCACAAGTGAGATGCTGTACAATGAGCACAAACATGAGTCTGATACTCCACCACCTTCAGCCTCGGTCACTCTTAGTTAATATGGTTTTCCATCTCCTGTTACACTGTGCATGGCAGTTGGGTATCAGACTTATCCCTGAAATATAGTGTAGGGATGGTCCATCAAGATCCCTTCACTCTTCTTTCCAGTCCTAGACATTGCTCTTTCCATGAGAATATAAACGCCTTTAATTTTTCTGAAGAACAAGGAAACATCTCCCAGGGCCCTGCTCACCCTTCAAACCCTTGCTCTATACCCCAAATGCAGATGAGCAATGGCTCTGGGCCGAGGAAGGTTGAAGGAGGTGCTCCCAGTCCAGGCAAGTGTACCATTGAGATGGGAAAAGACTTCTGAGGGCCACCTACCTCCCTCCGAGGAGCTACAAGAACTGCTTCAAGGGATGGGTGAGGAGGAGAGAGGCCACCTCTACGTAGAGGTGGCTCTGGTTACCTAGAGCTGTGTTCCTCTCCTCCAGGAGCTCCACCTTCACCAGCTGATTGGCTGGAGGGGCATCTTCAAGCCTGTCGATTAGGGCATTGACCAAGTCTTCGTGGTTCCCTGGAAACACACCCAGGTGGTCCCCAGGCAGGTACTGCAGTCCCTGGTGTCCGTTGGTGTGGAGGCGCAGGAAAATTGTCAAGCGACTACAGGGAAAGGAGAAAAAGCAGGATGTGTTTTCAGGGAGTCCTTCAGGGCATCGTTGAGCTCTGGTCTCAAGAGCTGCTGGGTGTTCTGGGCAGTGGTGGCATGTCCAAACCCTGGTGCCCCGCTGAGCACATCACCAAAGTCAGAGCAGAGAGCTAGGAAGGACACTGCAGCGTCCGCTTTCCCTCACTGCTGACTCACCCTCAGGGACTTTTAAAAAGGGAAAACCAGTTTCACCTCTTGCTTCAGCAATTTCATTCTGTCTTTGCATGCACCCTGCCGCTCCACAAGTGCGGCCACCCATCTTCTCATCCTTACAGGCTAATTTATGTATCGGCAGAGATTTCACTGTATGAGAAGGAAGGAAACACCCTTCACTGCGTTAACATGGCTTCCAGCCTTGGTGAGGATTTGCACAAAGGTGGCACGCGTGGGACGTGGTGCATGGATGCTTGGGTGCACCACGAGTGCATTCAGCTCCCGCAGTTCCCAGGGCAGCTGCATCTCCTACCTGGACTTCGGGCTCTGCAGGTTCTGGCGTGTGATAAGCCGGGCTGCATAGACACGTTTTTTGTGGATGCTGTACAGTCCTGCGGAGGAGAACAGTCAGTGAAGCAACGCAGCAGAGCGTGGCCAAGGCAGGCGGCTCCTGGCTTCTGCAGGGCTGTTGGCCATCGCTGAGGGTTCAGCCCTTCAGACCGGAGCTGGCTGACACCAACTGCAGCGAGCGGGCTGCAGGCTGGACCACCCTCCCGCCTCCATCTCCTGCAAAGCTTCAGCGAGCCTGGGGGATGAGAAACCCCAGGGGGGGGAACCAAACACGAGTCCCTTTTGTTAGTGACTGAGGAGGACTCCTAAACCGCCCGCACAAGGTGCAGGGACGTGCCCTCACGTGCAGGCACGCACCTCTCGCTGCCAGTACCACCTGGCTGATAGCTCTTCCCAAATTCAGGCGCTGTGCTAAGCCAGTGCGGCAGATCATCAGCTGCAGGAGCCGTGCTGAGGGGCCAGGTGTCGGTGGGCTGGACCTGCCATTGCACCGCAACGCTCCGCGGAGTGGCATTTGGACAAAGCGAGCTTGGAAAGCTCCCAGGTTTCCAGCTCTTTGCTTCAAAAAACGGGGTCAGGAGGAGGGACATCAGATCGTAGCCCAACATCTCTGTTACAGATACAGACAGAGACCAGCCTGAGGGGTCTGAGACCATCACAAACTGCTCCTTCGGCACGCGATGGAGGGGAAAGGCAAGACTGAAATGCTGGGAATTTAACACAGAATAAGTAAGGAGATTTGGCCCCTTTACCCCCTGCCCCTTGAGCCCACTGTGTCTTTTCCTCCACCTACCCCACGCCTAGAGCCCTCCAGGGTGACCTTCATACCTTGTGTGAGTTCCGGGGCTTCAGCCACGTAGGTCAGGCGAAACTTGCTCCTCTTCCAGCTCCGGTCGTTGCTGATGAGGGAGTTGTTTGCTTTCTCGATGTTGACGTCATCCCCCACGCAGAAAACGTCACACGCTGCCTGCAGCATACACCAAGCGCTCAGGCATCTCCCTGCTGCCCCTGGGCTTTCTGAGCCCCGCGACACCCCTTTTCCCACCCCACCTCAGCCAACACACAGAGGAGGTGGTCTTGATGGTGTAGGGCTACACCAGCGGCCATGGGTCTTCTCGTGCCCTCCTCCCCCATGCATCTGGGATAACAGGAATTCAACATAGTATTCACCCTCTGGCACTCAGCACAAACCAGAGTGTCAGCTCCACCAAAATATGGAGAACCTCTTTATTGTGGGCCAGGGTGATGGACGGGTGTCCCAATGTGGGGAAGGAGAGGCTGGGTTTCAGTCCACCTCTAACCAACAGTTTTGCTCTGTCCCTGTGTCCTCCCCGCCCTCCTCCTCTCTGGAGCACAACGGAAGTGGGTTACCTTGAAGACCTTCTTGGCCCAGGTCCTGAAGGACTCCTCCTGGCCACAGAGCTCATCCCCTTCTCCCATGCGGAGGATCCTCTCTCCGCCCAGCTCCTCCAGGAGGGTGTCCACCGCACGGGCAAAGGCGCAGAAATGGGGGTAGGCACGTGACCCCAGCCCAAACACGGAGAACCTGTGGAGAGGTGGCACAGCTGTGGCTACCGAGCTGGGAGGGACACCAACATCTCCCTCCACGGCCAACATCAGCATGAAGGAGCGTTGAGGGATCTGCATGTTGCGAAAATACATCACATTTTTGGTAAGAGCTGCAACGGGACAAAGGGGCTTTGTGCAGCACCGCCGTCCCTTGCTGTGTGCCACCCCGTCCTACTTACCTGACGTTAGCCAGGGGCCCCGTGCTTTCAAAGTTGTCCCTGGAGTCAGGGCCATCACTTGAGGATTTCCGTGCATCCGAGTACGAGGAGACGCTGTTGAAACGGACCTTGTAGCTCCTGTGAACAGCAACAGCATCAAGTATTAACAGTGGTGACAAATGTGCGTGTGGTTCCCACCGGGCTGTGTGCCCAGAGGGGACCAGACTATGGAGGAGACCAAACTGGACTAGGGTCAAGCTCAGGGCTCAATATTTCCTGAGCAGGTACTGTGATCAGTGGCTAGAGCAGAGAAACGTGCTCCCTTCTGGGGGTAAGCTGTAACAGCCCATATGTTGCATCCCCCCAGCTGGACCTGCTCTCCTCCATCGGGTCCTCCAGTCACGTCCCAGTGGGTTGACCACCACATTGTCCCCAGTGGTGAAGAGCTGGCAGGACCTTTGGCTTTACCTCTCCTTCCCTGGCTGCACATAAGGTTGGGTATATGTCTGAACACATATTTTGAAGGTTTTCTCATTCAAAGGAAGTAAAAAAAAAAAAAAAGAGGGGATGAGGCGGGGGAAGGGGAGCAGAGAAAAAATCTGACAACAGCAGAAGTATTTCTGAATTGAACCATCTTCAAAAATTGCTCTACACAAGAGTTTCTAAATATACTGCCAGAGCAATGAAGCAGTAGTGTGTGGATGAGTCACAGCAGACCTCCTGCACCCTGCACGCCACGCAGAGGAGACAACCCCTGAGCAAAATAACTGCCAGGGTCGTAGAGGCCTGTGCTCCACCTCTGCTCCAGAGCCTCCTCCTTTCTGCACAGACCTCTCATGCTCTTCTGCTTCACTCAGTCTGGATGGAGCCACCTCTTTCTCCGCTGTCCCTGGGCCACGTCCTCACCCCCGGGTTACACGGTGAAGGCAGGGCAGCACAGCCCACCGATTTAGGTGGGCACGAAGCCCAAACTCCCCACTTGGGTGTTGGGCCCAAGGTCGGGGCACCAGTGGCTTTTGTTGAAATGAATAGGTCCTTGTGGCAGGGGATGACTGTTGAAAGAGGAGCTGCGTTTGAACAGCGGGTCCTTAAGCATGGAAGGATTATGAATGCCTCTGAAAACCCTTGGAAAACCCTTGCTGTAGGACACAAGGAACCAAATATACAACCATAGCAAAACCTCTGGGCTGTGGTCACAAAGCCAGGGCCGCAGCTCCCTGGCAGGTTCCTTGAGACACTGTGGCTTAGAGCGGCCACCGATCCCCGCTCTGCGGGGTCTCGGCCACCCTCAGCATCCCCTGGTGGACATGGAGCTGGGAGCCCGTGGGGTGCACGGGCAGGAGCTGCTCTCTCCAGACCTTTCCTACAGATGCCAGGCCGACTCTGCCCCTCTTCCCTAGATGGTCTCCTCCAGGACACCTTTTCTCATTGCAAAAGCTTTTTTTCATGCTTAACGTCAGCATCTCTTCCTACCATCCAGAGCCATGACCTCTTAGCCTGTCCTGGGGGGGGGGCACGGGGAGTAATTTATTCCCTCCGCCTCCGCAGTCACCTTTTCCATATGTGAAGTCTGCTACCGCACTGTATTTCTGTCTCCTCTTCTTCAGATAAAACAGCTCTCACCCTTTTCATCTGTCCTCACAGGTCACTGTTTCCAGAGCTCTGACTACTTTTGCTGTCAGGTAACCAAGCCAGGGGCTGTCCTGGCTCTTAGAAACCTTAAATTACATTTAGAGGTGTCTGGGACAGCCAGCACTGAGCTCAGGTCCTTTAGTCCTCCTCAAATCTGCCTGGCTTGCCATGGGTGGCACCTCCGCACCCAACCCAATGTTGCACCAACCCAGCCCCAAAAAATGAAGATCCTCGGGGCGAGAACATCGCGCAAAATGCCCCTTCTCCACGCAGACACCTCCAGGGCAGCCTGCACGTCCCGTTTTGTCAGCTGTCCCCATTAAGGCACGAGGCAATTGGAAACCTAATGGGTTTTCGGCTCGCGAGCCCTGCGGGGATCCATCAGATGACTCGGCTGCGCAGCAAGGAGACCACTGCATCGCCAGCAGCCGAGAGGTACAAATCGGTCCCTGCCCGGCGGTGTTTGTCACCACTCTGCAGCCCCACCAGCACTGCTCTGCTCAAGCAGAAAGTCAGGGCGGTTAAATTGCGCTGCATCACTGGCCAGTGCTAATTCTGCCTTAATTAAGAAGCAGCCTTTTGCCAGTTGCGAGCATCGCTGTGTTAACTCAGGAGAGACTCCAGAGCAGAGCAGTGTCCCAGTTAAGCAAAATATATTGTACTTAATAGCTAAAATAAGAGGAGGTCCCAAATGATTAGCACTTTGCCGGCTGCCCTCACTTTCCAGCCTCTGGGACATGCAGCGAGATGCTCGAGGCTCATCTTCCATCAATGGAGGATTTTCTATAAACTCCAGACCCTGTCTCAAGGTACCAGTTCCAGACTCACTGTTACAAACATCACAACCAGAATTTATAACAGCTCTTATTTTCCCCTAGAAATATTTTCACATGATGCAAGAAGTTAAATCTGGTTCTCAAGCCCTCCCCCGTCTACCTCCACATAGCTGGGAACTCCCTTCTACCTCCAAGTCTTATTATTTTGGTGTCTCCTGGACAGCTCCAGCTCTGAGATTTGATGATTTTGAGGGAATTCCTGCTTTTATTTGTTGGGGTTTTTTTTCATAGATGCCTGCCTCTTATAGCTGAAGAGAGAAGCTTTCTTTTCAGAGAATCACAAGCTGGAGTCCACAGGCACTCAGTGCTTTTGTCCTCCCTGGGACCTCTACCCGCTCCATCCCTTGGTTCTCCAGGCAGGTCCCATCCCTTGGACCTTTGCAAACTTGAAACCTGCGTGAGGATTTCACACGTCCTTCTGAGAGGTGGAAAGCAAAGAAGCACACTGCGGGGCTGCCTGCTCGCTGGGGTTGTGAGTGGGAAGGGAGGGGTTTGGGGTGCTCTTACTTCCTCTCCTCCAGGTTGGAGTTGGGATTCTTCATCTCCATTAATGCACAGCCAAATTTCTACAGGGAAGAAATACAAAAAGACCATCAGTTTTGCCAGTCTTGGCAGGAAACGAAGCCGTGACCAAAGCCTGGACTGCGACTCTGCTCTCTGCTTGCTGTCCCCAGCAGCCTGCAATGCTGGTGTACAGGGCTGGATGAGGTCGTAGCTCCCCAGCCAAGGGGCTGGCCCCTTTTGCATGACGCTGACATCAGTGGTACAGGATGAATTTAGCAACAGAGTAGTTACTTGTCTCACAGCAGGGAATAAGTAGACATCCCTATTTCAGAGCAGGCTGGAGGCAGGAAGCACAGCACCAGGTATCACACAGAACCTCAACCTGGTTTGGGCCATTCCAGCTCAGGCTGAGCAAAAAAAGGATAATATCTTCCCTGTTCCCCACCATCTCTCTTCTGCCCGTGTCCCTGCCGTAGTCACCCATCCCTGTGCTCTGTCCTACCTCTCCATTCTCAGGTGGGTCTCCATTGCCAAATGTGCTTGTGACCACCAGGACCATGGTTTCATGCTCTAGGTGCACGATATCATACTCGTCCATGGACATCACCTGGGAGCAACAGAAACATTAGCAAGAGGCCCTCGATGGGGAGCTCTACCACCAGCCAGTCTCCTGGGATGGACCCCAGTCCACCGGGGGATGAGAGCAGCATTGTCTTGCTGACTCCATGGCGGTGCACTGTCAGAGATCTCCACACAGGCAAGATGAGAACAAGAGCCTCAAGGGACATGGACAAACCACAGGGCTACCACCTGAGAGGCAGAAGACAAATGTATGCCCCAATGCCTGCAGGAGCATTAGCTGGAAATGCTATTCATGTGCAGGCCTCAGTCCAGACCCACAAGGTCACATCCTAGGAGCTTCTGAAGACCTTTGGCAGCTGGGAAGCTCCACATACCCACATACACACATAATCTTGCAGGGCCCAGGAACTAGTACAATACCTTGGCATCGAAAGCGTGCTTGAAGATTTCACACAGAGTTTTTGCATAGACCTGCGACTTCCCTGTTTCAGTGGCATACAGGATGGTTGCTTTGACCCTCTTGGCCATGGCCTGTCCCATCAGCTTGGCTGAGAACTTCACGGCCCTAGGAAGCAAGAATAAATCCTGGTAAGAGAGCTTGCTTCCTTGCCAGTGCCTCTAGCCCAGACTATTCACACCATTTTATTTATTATTAAATGAACAGCCTGCCTTAAAAACTTGCAGCATCGCTTTTTTTGTTGTTATATGCCAAAAAAGGAAGCTATGGAAAAGCGTGTTCATCTTGACTTGTCAGAGAGGAAGACTGGATGGAGCAGCTTGAACACAGAGCTGAAATACCTGCATGAGTATAAGAAGGAAAATGCTAAACCAGGTGTGGAGGTGGTCTTTCTGCAGGGACAGAGAAGCAGAAGAATCAGAGGCAGCAGTCACTGAAAGCAGCAACCAGATAACCTCAAAGGAAAAGCTGGAGACCAACCAGAGCCCAAGCTACAGGAGGAACAGTCACTTCTCCATCTCTTTGTGTCTTTAAATCCTACCTGGCTGCCTTTCTGCAGGACGTGTCCTAGCCAAGCAGGAGCACCCGGGCCCCACACATCACACACAAAGCCCCGAGACACTGAGAAGGTCAGACGGGGCTGTCTGTAATCCCTTTGATCTGCACTCCAGCGACACTATGAACTTTACTCAGAGGAACAGCCCTCCTGAGGCTGAGAGGTTGCACATTTATTTGAGTGTTTGCAGGGCTGCGTCTAGCCGGCTGCCTCCTGTGGCTGCAATCATGACAGGATGCATTTGCTCCAGTTTTCCCCACCGGCTCAGCTCTGACAGCAGAGCAGAGGGGCCCTGAGAGGTCACCGGCCTCTCTAATCCTGGCCAAGGTGATACAGCACTGGAAACGCTGGCTCCTTGTCTACGCTAACGCTGGTGGATGGGTTGGCATCAGTGGGAGCAGAGCGATGGGGGACAAGGGATTATTATTATTTTAGGACCATTCATAATCACAGAATTTGGACATCAACATTATTTTTCCTAAGTGCAGAATATCGTCACCTTTTCTAAATGGACCAATAAGCCTTTAAACTTGGCCACCAGAAAGGCAGGACTGGATTTAGCCTGCTGTGTTGCAATAAGAAAGGGGCAGTTTTCGGGGAGGCTGAGAGACCACAAAGCATCTCTGTGGCCTTTGCAAGCATAAGGGCTGCGTGATTGACTTCG